GCGCGGCCCAGCATCACGCTCGCTAACGTATACATGAACGATCGCGCGGGCGCCGTTGACGATCCGTCAGCGGCGCCATAACGTATAAGCGAAGCGATGATAACATCAGCGGCACTTATAATGCAAATTAGCTGGTGACACTCGACTCGGTAACAGAGTAATGTAATGCGCGAATAAATGGCAACAACTGGCTCGGCGCATCGCGCTGTCAAATGCGCCCTGAACTCTCATAAAGCACCGTCGGCCGCGCGGTTTGTCAGCGTAGGCGTGAGTTGTAGGTGTGCTTCTGATGGAAATATTGACTCTCACGCGCGACCGGGAATGTGTATCATTGAATTGCCCCCCCCCCTCCCCCCGCCATAAATATACCGAAATTCTGCCGGGCGCATTTCATACTTTTGATTTATCCTCGGCGTGCGAGAGCGCGCGGGCGTGGGGCGCGGGGCGCGATGGGCGGGGGAGAGGGAGGGGGGAGAGGCCACGCGTTTGCACGTTTTGCACGTGAGCGTACCGTGACAACACGCCTCCCTCCCCCCCAATGCAACGCGGGTCTCCCGTTGTCGCCCGAGGTCCTTAAAACGCGCGCGATCCTGTCGATGACAGCTTCTACGTAACGGAAAATTCGTGTATTCGGATAGACACGCGGCTATGAAAAGTATCGGTACATGTTGAACCTTCGGGGGCACTTCGAGGAAAATAAGTCTCGAGGATTGTGAAACACCCTCTCTCTCTCTCTCTCTCTCTCCCTGTATATCAACGCCGCGCGCGTTATTGCGTGTTGGAAAATTATGGATAATTACGATATATAAAGCTATCGTATTTTTGCATCAATACGTAACATTCTCCTCCCCCTCCCCCCCCCCCCCCCCCCCGTCTTTCTTTCACGCTCGCCTTCTTCGAATACTTTTTTTTTTTTTACGATCCCAAGATCCGCGCATCCCATCGAGCTCATAAATGCAAATGTAATTGCACAAACGTACGCTTGCACGGTGTATACGCGTGACGAAATACATTGATTTGCTTAAGGGGAAGTGAAATATCATACTTTCCGTAATTACATTTTTTCCACCTATTAGATCGGCTCGAACAAATTTCGAACTTAAAAAGTCATTAAATTTTCATGTAAGGGCATTCGTGCAGGAATTTCCTTGGCTGACTCACTGCAGATAATTCCATGTAATATCATTCTTAACGTTTCGCGTGAAGAATTATACCCTTCTTCGAATGTATTCCGTATCAAATGAAGATCTTTGATTACCATGCCATTGTAATATTCTTCCCACCTCTTCCCCCCCCCTTCCCTCCCCAAGATCGTATACACGAAAAAGGTGGAGTTTGTCGTTCAGTCGTTTGTTGTTCGCATAAAAGAGGAGAATAACGTGAGACATCTAAAGCTGACGGGTGATACCCTTTTTCGATGAATTAGTGAGGCATCTATAGCACCGGTTGCAGTGTTATTAATAGAGCGACATGTGTTGCAGGTTGCTTGCACCGTATCGATACCCACGTCCAATTGTGCATAAATTATTGGTACGCTGCGCCTGACAATCGCGCGGATATTGATGCGATTATCAATAATTTCCTGCAGGGGTCGGGTACGCCGTCGTGTGCGTTCGTGTGTGGCTTTTACCAATACGCGGCTAACGCTAGGGTGAATTTTTTCAATTAAATAAGATATTGCTCTCCTGATTATTTACTCTCCGATTATTAGATTCTCGCAGACATTTCGGCCGATTGTTTTTTCTTAAATTAATTATCTAAAAGCGTGCCCATTTCTTTTTCCTGCAATTTTCGAGAAAGGGGAGGTTGACTGCCGCTTCATTATTATTATAATCTAGCGAATTTGATCGACGATCGCTTTTTTTATTTTACAAATATTTGTTTTGTTCGGAGTGCCGGCGCCGTAAAGTGGATTGATACATTACCGTCGTTTGTTAACTCGCTAACTACAACAATGAACGCGTCGTGATACATGCACTAACGGCACAAAATAATTCGTGTTGTAACGTTTTCGCAGAAAACGTATGCCGCAATTTGCCAAATCGTTGTTTGTCGCATACGCGACACGTAATAAGAGGATGCCTGATTTCAAGTGTGCGATAATCGCGCTCATAAATAAAAAAAAAACTGAAAAAAAAAGGCAGAGCCAGAAACAGCCAGTGTTCGAAACGTACACGCGGTACGTGCCTCTGGCAAAAAAATATACGGGCTTCTTCCCGCGCGGCATTCATGCTCGCGCGATTGAATTAATCGGGTAATTGAGTTAAGTACTCAAAAATTCGCCGGCGCTTCGCGCATAACGCTCGTGAAATGCGCATGAAATAATTTCGATGTGCATTTCAAAATGCGGCGCATCTGCTCTATAATTAATACGGCTAACGGGTTATGTAGTCTCCAACGACAAATTTTTGAAATCATAAAAACATGCTTTAACATATTGCAATTGCAATCGGGGAATACGTTGCCGCAGTTTGCGCCGGTGTGTAACGGTGGAAGGGCGACAGGCAGAAATGAGGACGGACGCATCGGTGTCGCAAATGTTAATAATGACGTTTCGAGCGGTATTTATAGCGGACTGCCAATGGTATTATCGGCTACGGTGGGTCGACGAAAAGAGAGAGAAAAAAAAAGAAGTACCCGGCGCTTCCCGCCGCGGGATATCAACCCTGGAAATTATTTTTGCGTCGCTCATTCAATATTACGCAACAAAGGAAATTTACATTTTATTCGGATATTAGTTTAACGTAAAAAAATTCTCGGCGAATTCGTAAAAGCAGCACCGTTCCCAGCAAAACGCAACGGCATTAAATTCACCCGTTTTACGCGATGCGAGTCTATCGCCTGGATTGCCCCTGGTATACCGCAGTTTAGTTTTATTCAACGCTAAACAGAGCGAGTGACGCCGAAAACACCAAACGCGCGCAGCTGTTCCGTAATTAATACAGTCGACGGTTCATGTAATCATCGACGACAAAGTTTCGAGCCCATAAGGACGCCATGCTTTAACGCTGTGCGACAGGAGAGCGCGGGTACATCGCGTCGCATCGGCGGCAGCACAGCGGCGGGAAAAGGGCGACAACAATGAAGAGGAGAAGAGTGGCGAAGAGCGGCGACGATGGCTCGCGATGGGGCGAGAGCCGGCGAGCGCCAGTGTGTGTGTGTGTGCGTGTGCGTGTGCGTGTGCGCAAGTGTGTGTTGGTGGCGACGGTGGCCGGCGTGGTCTCATGGTCTGTGACGATGCTGGTGGTGCTGGTGATAGTGGTGGTGGTGGCGGCGGTGGTGATGGTGGTGGTGAAATTTATACCGGATGCCAGCCACCTAATAACGTTATTGCGTTGTATAAACTGCGAGAACGCGGCGAGCAACGCTGCAGCACATTAAAGCCGCCGTCGGCACCATAGAAGCGCGCGAGTATAAATAATACACCCGCGGTCTCTCATTTCCGATGCCGTATTTAGTTTATTAGCGTGACCTGGAATTTTTCGTGCTGCGTCGCGCCGCGAACCCGCCGAATTACAGGATACAGTTTAGTGCGAATCGAGCCGGGGGTCATAGCTCCATCCGCTTCCTCGTCTATTCCCTTTCCCTCCCCCTCCCCCTCCACGGAATGTATATGCGGAAGTCGACGGCTTTACGACGGTGTCAAAAATTGCTATGACCCTACGGCAGTAGTTTTCGACGACGTCGGAACTGCGTTCAATCCACCATGCCGTCTTGCTTTCCAGCCTCGACCAAAACGTCGCTTTCTCCCGACATTCGATGAAAACACGATATATCGGCAAACGTTAGATATAGAGAAATTCGTAAATCTTTCTCTTTCGATCCTATACAATTTAATGCAGCGCAGCTGAATATCTTGGAAGATGTTTCAGAAATTAAAAAGAGAATAACTTCTTGTTCGTTTCGTGAAAAAGGAGTGAAACGATAATCTTAGGACATCGTGTCGACACGACACTACTGGCGCTATCGTATCTTCGCTGCGTTCCGGAGAAACACGTCTATACAGATTACGAGTTGGGATAAATCAATGTCGAGTGGTACCTTAACCTGGCTCAAACGAGCGCGGAGCCTTCATTGGTTGACTTAAGAAAACTAGCAACCCTTCGCGAACGTTTCGAGTGGCTCGTCTCGATCCCGTCTGTTTACACAAGATCGCGTACACCAGATGCAACGTCGTTAGGAAACGTTCCTGAAATTACGCGGTGTTTATTTAACCCGTTACTGTGTCTAGTATTACGCTTCATCGTGATGGAACAGATTCTCGTTGAGATTATATAGAAAGTAATTGAAAGAAAAAAAAGGGAAGATAAATAGAAGGTATCATTATATACAAATGTGTAACACCAAAAATTTTACCTCATGTTAAATATTTTATAATATAATTATATATTCTATCTTGTAATTATATATAATTATGTTTATTTAGGTAAAATATGTACAAGTCGAAAAGATTTATCTATCTCTTTAAGAAAATAAATACCTCACAAATTATTGTTATACTCTTTGCGTATCATAACTGTAAAGTATCGCTTAAGTAAATAAGTTCAATTTATGGATGCGAAAAAAATGTATACAACTCGCGTTATTCCTTGCAGCGTACTCGCTACAGAATATAAACCTATCTCTCCTTATAAAAAGCTTGTCAACGAGTCTAAACAGATGTAAGGTGGCCCGGTGTCTCGGAGAAAACTTCCGTCGTGGTTACGGAAAAATCCTTGTGACATACGGGAACATCTGTATCGTCGAGACTTGTAGTGTGTATATATACATATATAGGGTGGTCACCTTACGGGAGAGAAGAGAATCGTCCCGGTGGTCTCCGGAGTCATCCAGCCAAACCTTCGATTTCCCAGACTGGCGCCAGCACGCCTCGCGTCTGTTTGTAGCCGAGTGAAGTGCCTGCCGTGAGGCTTTTCCTGCCTAAATTCAGGAGTGTCTGACCTGCGGATCTCGAACGGCTCCCGTTCGACCTCTCGAAGATATCCCGAAGCCGAGACGAGAGCACTCAAAGGGCACTCGATCCATCGACGCCGTTGATCCTACCGTTCGACCTGCAAGTCAGACGAACTGCCTGCCTCCCACCGTGTTTTCTTTCGAGGAAGTGGTCCCGAGCACGAAGATTTATTTACTTGAACGATACCTCCTGCCGGCTTTACGATCGACTTGCATGACACGTCTCTCGCGCTGCAACGCTGCCCCGATCACTCGAGTGCTACCATCTGACATTTATAACGGCGCGTCGCGTCGTCTTTGTATAAAGTTCTGTTCTACGCGACTGAAAGGATGGCTGGCTGAGTCTCGGAATTGATTCTAACTTTTAAAATAGGCACACGTTATATAATAATCTACTAGTCATCTTAACCGTCGACTACAGCACCGAACCTTTTGGATCCGAACGAATATTTTGGTTCGTACATTTCTGTAAAACCTCTTCCTTACATTTTTAGATATAACCTTTAACATTCCTCAAAATCTTTTTTTTTTTATTTACATGGATGTGGATTCTATACAGTTCACCATTTTTGAAAAAAATTAATTAAGATCTATTGAAATTTATGAAAGCTACAACGAAAAAGAATTCGGATATACAAGTATATATCCATATGTGTCAATTACGGCTTACTTTTTTATTGCAGTTGTTAAGAATTAATAATAGATCAGTCTTCTT